TGGGACAAAGATGTCTTAAAATTATATTTTGAAGTAATGTACAGGTTTTTGCCACTATTCTTGTCCAGGATTGTAGTATAAAAATCTGAAACTTCTATCAAAGCTAACGTTGCAATACCACAAAACATAGTGGTGCGTTTTTTGGGACACCCTCAATGTCATGTTGAAAAAGATTAGTAACACATGGTGAATGACTCACCAAATTCAATCTTGCTTCAGGAATGACATCAACCAGAGGCGGTAGAACTTGTAAAGCTCCTTCACCGGCACGGAATACAACCTGTTATTAGATATTTATAAAACTATAACATTGCTTCAAGTTTAAAATCTCGATATGTCCTTGATATATGCCCCTGTACGAACAAACCAATTTTTGGTAATTATTGTAAATATATACCCTAATTTCTGACCGTGAACTTAATACAAAACCTATTTCGAACACTTCTAACCAAACCTAACCTTAATGGAACCCTAACTGAACAGGACGCGAATGCAAAATTCTTATAAGAAATTTCACTATGGAATTGTTTCCTAAATTTTGTCTTCGACATTCATTTCTGCAAGCCTTCGGCGCATGCACATGTAGTTACTGTAAAAATAGAGGTGTGACCCGAGAGGAGATTGGCTTCTTTAATTTTACCCTGTGTCTGGACTCAACGAGTGGAAGGGGGAAAATATGTTGAATACTGTGAGAGTATTAGAGGGCTATTTTGGTCCCCAGGGCCATTTTGGCTATTTAAAAGTTAAAACATGGACTGTTTTGGCTCTGACAGGGGTCAAAATAGCCCCATTAAAAGGAACTGTCTCAGGATCGAAATTACTGTGTCCCGATGGTGGAGGGTTAGGGGCAGGAGTGTTACGACTTTCATAAGGGCAGTGTCGGTTAAGTAATGGCTTTCCCAGGTGCTCTTGCTATAAACCAAGGTGTGATTCGAAACTGGTCCAAAGACCAGAGTATTTATCAGGGAGACCCATTGAACTGAATATAACTGGAACGCTACTTCCAACTGGAAATTTGAAGCCAAACTTGAAGGCCAGTCCCAGTCTTTTCACGCATGCGAAGAGCGTTCAATCAGTCAATCATGATATAAACACGCATGTCTTGACCCCCCAGACACGGAGCTTTGGCTTCAAGAATAATATAGGCAGTTAATCTGAAGATACTGCATGGTCGTGAATTTCGCAACACTTCCGCAATCGTCTTGGGAAACTAGAGATCAGTGGAAAAGCTAGCCATAGCAATAGGTCATGCCATGCAAATTTTAATGATTTGCATTATTCAAATCTTTAGAAATGTACTGTCTTTAACCATTCGGATGCAGATTTATTAGCATCTCTGAGTACAATACTTACTAAGTTATGTTTCATGAGGTCTTTAGCAAATTCAAATGACGGCGAGGCAATTTCTTGGAGTGTTTTTAATTCAGCCTTGAAATATAGTAAAGCGATATAATGTAACATAAGTTGCATGCGTAACTGTATGCCGAAGCAGTGGCAGATCTGCATGCTGAAGTGCTTGATCTACACTCTTGGAAACCTCTTAATGTAAGACGTCACTATCTTTCATTATAAAATCCTTAATAACCACACCGCCCCCAATTTGAAACACATGTTTATTTTGAGAGGCGATATGCAAACACCATATATTCTCAGAAATCTGTCACTTCCAATGCCGAAAAGAGAATTTCTCCAAAAAAAACCGGTTCAAATACGGCGGAGCTAAGTTTTGAAATGAATTTCTGGCTAAACCAGTTAGACAGGCTCCATCCGATCTATGCCTTTAAAAATGGTCGAAGTTGATAAACCGTCCAGTTCTCGATTAACTGCGTCTCCCATTCTCGTCCCCAGAGCCAATTTCACTCGGTCATCCGTTGAAAATTAGGCTCTGGGATAAACGGATCCGGACTCAATCTTGAGGACTGAGATTTGCCACAACATCGAAAATATGTTACGGTAACATAACTGCGTACCCCCAAATTTGGGCGAAGTGTATTGTGAGGTGTATTGAAGTCATGCTTTTGATGATGTCACAAACATACGTTGATATCAGAGCGTGCCTTTCATCACAATACCGAGAGGGGGGATATAGTTTGAATGCATACTTACCTCTGCGGCTTTCCCGTTATAAAGACGAAAGTGATTACATGCCTTTAAATTCACAGCAATGGCACTAAATAATAAAATAATTGGAATGTTATTCTGATTTGGAATATCTTAATCACCAATTTGTCATGATAGTAAGTGTACATGCAGCATTGTAGCCTGTATTTCCGGTCCACTGCACAACGTTGTAGTGGACTGGGGCACAGCCTAGGAACAATGGTAATATGGACATTATAAAAGAATAGAGTGGGCATCGCGGGAAAGATCGCGGGACAAATTGAAGCTTCCTATAATGGGGCATATAACGCCCTCTGATTGGCTAAAATCTCGTTGCGCGGATGTAAATTCTCATTCCCGGATGCAAATTAAGCCGCGATGTTCAGGATGAGTGGGAAATTACGAAAATAATACAACCTTGAAAACATCGATTTTTCCAGGTTTAGCATAGTTCAAGCAAGGACTAAAAGCTGAAAATCAACAAGAAAATCAACAAGAATTTAATACAAAACAAGTTTTGAAACGGTAGAAATGTTTTAAAGTGGGTTTTTTTTCGATGATGAAGAGCAGTGTTTTCTTCTTGACTTCGGTACGCCCAAATTATCATTTCCCACGATATAATATAGAAATTCCTTAGATTTTCGCCACAAATAAATGTGAAACAGTCAAGATAGTGGAAAAAACAGGATTGAATACTTGAATTTTAGCTAAAAGGTATAAAATATTGATTTTTCTTGGTTTTGCATCCAGGCATAACTCAAATTTGCCTCCATTAGCAAGCTTCAATTTATCCCTTTCGTTTGCCTGAACTTTACCTACAACGCCCGTTCTATCATTTTTTATCTCTATGAGTTACTGATCGTCATCTCTTGGTAAAGTTGAAACTTTTGTTAAAGAGTCATTGTCAACCACAATGCATTAATTTGTTTACATCTTATCTTCGGAAGTGACAAGTAGGAACAAATGACGATTCTAAACATTTCTTTGGTGCAATTTTAGTATAAAAAGTTAAAATGAGCAAGTATAACAATAGGATGGTAGTAATATATTATAGATTGAAAACCGAAACATCTATTATTCCGCCATTAAAATGGTCGCCAAGCAGGTTTGGGTGCACAATGCATTGTGGTTGACAATGACTCTTTAAAGTAGTTCATGCAGCCATACTGTCTATATTGGGGACAATTACATGCACCCACCTGTCAGGATAATGTTGCAGATAAACAGCCAAAACCTCTTGGGAAACATCGTAATAGTCTAACTTGTAGTAGCAAAGCGCCACATAACAATTCAATGCCAGATAGTCTCTGAAAAAAACAAAAAACGGGACGCCAGTTTACCCATGCCCTTCCCACGCTTCGTAAACGACGGTACCTTTGATTATTTGGATGTACAAAGTAAACAATTAACCTAAAAGTGAGCGGTTAATATCGTATTCGCCTACAGTCCTGTTTCATTACATCTGACTTTTATGTACCGCGACAACACGACTCTACGTTCATTAACACAATAACATTTGTTTGGGCAGAGACGTTGCCAGAGAGAGCAATTCATATAAACATGAATCTCCATGCTTTGAATAGAGATGACGGCATAGCTATTTAGTACCAGGCCATCGATGACGTCATCTATACAGGGTGCATAAAAAAGTGCATAGCTCTAAAATGTCTAAAATGTTAGTATGGGTAGTTCTGGGTCTTCTGGTATATCTACCACAAAGTTGACAAAACCATTCTGAAAAGTAAATTTTCGAGTGCAACAGGGCTGTTTTCCAAAACCACATAGATGACTTGCGCACAAAAACTAATGTAAGGTTTAAAACAAAATTTGGGGTGAATTCATAGGGTATTTTATGAACTACTAATGTACCAGCCAATGTGGTGTACATTAAGTCCTACAGGCGACCTCTAAAGCTTGGACTTTTTTATAATAATAGCCTTTCACACTTTTCATGTTAATCAGAACTGACTTTTATTATATATGAGAAATATTGAGCTATATAATGCCATTCCTTTTGCACATATGCAAAAATCTTTCATATTTTCACAACGACTAAATCACATCGCTCAGTGACAATGTGCCTGTAAACCAGAGTCGCGAGCAACACTATGTCTGCTCTCTCTTTCCCGTGCCAATCGACTCTGAACATTAGGGGTAGTATGCTTTTCAATTTCTTTTAAAACCTACAACCTGATCAATCCCATTGCAGTTCTAATAAAAATGAAGAGGATTAACTATTCTTCATTTTATAAAGGACCTACCTGTTATCAAGTAAAATTCTTTTGTATATATCAATGGCTTCTTGATAATGGCTTCTGAGGTAGTGGATTGAGGCAAGACTTAACTAAATGAAAAATTAAATAACATGCATTTAGTAAGCCAGTGACATGGCGTTTTGCATGTGTGAGGTAAGAATCTCACGACTTGTTAACAAGATGTGTTCCCAACAGAAGCGCATAGTATAAGCTTGTCAACAAGTTTTAACAATGTTATTTTATCAAGTTGCTACAAGGTTGTCACTCGCAACTTGTTGACAAATTGTCGAATTGCAAGACGATATAACAAGTTGTTGAAACAACTTGTAATAAGTCAGTTGAGCTCAACAATCTTGTAGCAATTTGTCAAGGAGATGACAACTGATTGTCAACAAAGCTGGTGGTTCACAAGTTGTTGGAACAGCATTGCTACAAGTCTGGTGCAGGTTTGTTCGAGCTCGACAACTGGACTCTGTAGTTCAGTTGGTTAGAGCGCTGCACCGGAATCGCAGTGCCGCAGGTTAGACTGGGTTAGACTCATGCCAGGGACCAATAGTTGCATTTTCCGTGGCTGTTCCTGGCTAGGTCTAATAAATGCATATAGAATTTCCACTCGATAATTTCCATCCACAAAAACCTACAACTATTATTCAACCGAGTGAGAAGCCAACAAAATAGTGATATTGTTACAACTTGTGTGTTTTTACGTGTGTACTTTGCCAGACTTGGATGAGAGTAAATCCCCCAGTGAAAGAAGAACGAGAATTGACCATTTGCGCGTAATAGACTAAATTTTGATCTCAACAAAAATTTCATCACAGCTTGAAAGAGCATCACAAAATTAGTAATACTCCAAAGTTTCGTTGCGAAATGTTGTAAAATGCGGAAAATATAGCCTTGCAAAATTTGCAATTTTCAGTCATTTTAGATTACAAACCGGAAATTGACAGCCTCGAAGGGTTTGGGGCTGTCAATTTCCCGTTTGTAATCTAAAATGCCTGACTGAAAATTGCAAATTTCGCAAGGCTATATTTTCCGCATTTTACAACATTTTGCAACGAAACTTTGGAATATTACTAATTTTGTGATGCTCCTTCAAGCTGTGATGAAATTATTGTCTAGACTTGTTTAGTTCAAAATTTAGTCTATTACGCAAATGGCCAATTGATGCCGTCGACGGGCCTTCGCTCGAAACGTCGAAATTCTCCTTATATTTTTCAGGTAGTTGCATCCCTACCAACGAAAGCTTGTTTATAATATTGACACTACCTACACTAACATATTCAAAAATATTTTAATATCCTGTCAGGCTATAGAAAATAATATCCCGTTGTTTGTGCAAGTTTTTCGTCAGTTCGTTTACTGATTGGTCAGCGTAAGATAATTAATAATTATTAATCTAGCCATAATCTCGTTGTAGTAATGTCGGTTTAAAGGGTTTTGGAATATCACTAATTTTGTGATGCTCCTTCAAGCTGTGATGAAATTTTTGTCTAGAAGAGCATAAGATGATAATCGAAGAAATTTTGAACATCATCTGCTTCCTATGCAGTAAGAAGAACACTCCAGACAGTGGCACCGAAGCACAAGAAACACGGCATCTTAATGGCGAAGAAGACCGTACCAACACAGGTGACTTGATTTGATCGCATATATGTATATATACCGGGTGTCCAAAAAAAAACCTGGACACCGTTTGATTTCATGTAACATTAAAAGCTATATAAAAGCTATCGCAATGAAACAAAGATCATTGCATTCAGGAAGGGCTAACTTAGATTTTGATATGTAACACTTGAATTTACATGCAATATTGGCGAGACACAACTAAAATAAAAATATTTATTATTTAATAAGTATATAACTATACATCGGTAATTATGAGGTTGTTTTATGCTAATTTTGGGCATTTTCAAAAACAGTAGTTCAACGTTCAAACATCAATCGCGCAGTCAATATTCATGCGCATGTCTTTTTATGCGTCGACATTTAGTGGTTTCGAACTGTATACCCACGATGCCCTTGGTTTAAATCCTCTGCAAGCCAGCTGCATGCTTGTGAATGAGAGACTATAGTCCTCGGATTCGCCACCCATCATTAGCTCGTACGTGGAAGAGAATACCACAGAGCTATAGAATTAACTATCCTCATATAGGATTGCTACTTATACCGTACTTCAATAAATTACGGTTAACCTACGGCATATTCAAGAACATGTATACTTCAATTAACCAATGTTTAAAGGGCTGTTTATAAGCCGTAAATGCAGAGCTGGCCCTCATAGTTTCTAATTTCTAGTCTCGAAAGTCAGACGACACACGACAAAAACAAATCAATTATATGGCATACATTATTAGTATCAAGCTGTTTATTAAAAAACCCACAGACTCATCACTTTGTGTCTTTGTTGTTTAAAGTTTCCCACGCACGCAACGCTTCAAAACATGCCCGTTGGGCATTGTGTTGGGAAAATACATTTTTTTATTTTTAAAATATCACTATTTCGGGCGGACCGTGCGAGGAACCCACGCGAGGTTTTCACGATGGTCGGCCATTTTGAAAACACGAGTTAATATTGAAAATACGAGTTCATATTGTTTTGATTGACAACGTGTATGATATTGCGCTTGGGACTTGGCAACTGTAATATTAATGAAAAGTGTAATAGCATTGAAAACCTTTTTTTATTTAAACATATTTGAAATCATTTTCTGCAAGAGCTGAAGCTCATCGAGGGAGATCATAACATATTAAAATTACTGTAGAGTGCATGACAATTTAAATAAAAAAGACACACAAATAAAAGAAGATAATCAAAAAGAAGATAATCAAGAAAAAGATAACAATAATAGATGGTTATATATGTTAAAGCTTAACAACAAAATCATGAATCTTGTACACAGTTGGTAAACCGTTTAGAATTCAATATAAACAATTGGGCATTATGCAGCAACGTCTGGTTATCTGCATATCCAAGTTTATCTGAGCCGTGCAAAAATAGGTGTATACTTTCTGATTTTCTGATAAGCTCGACCATATAGTTGGGAGAAGCCGTGCAGATATAGAGAATAATTTTTGACGTTCAGCAGCATATAGCGGACAATGTAAAAAATAATGACTCAAAGTTTCAATAATTCGCCAGTGGCATTCGCAAATGTTTACAACCAATTCGATAAAAATAGAAATTAAGGGCGCAATGACCAAGACGAAGTCTTGTGTGTAATATTGAGCTATATCTACTTAGCGAAGTATTATAGAGCGTATTATATTTAGTCACACAGAAGATATCTCGTAATTTTGATTTAAACAAAGATATAGATTCCACATTACGTAAATTACGATCAAGTTCATTCCAAGCAGTTATACACCCTTTTCATAAATGGCTGCCGATTAAAAATTCTTTTATGTGCATATAAATTGGCCCAACTAGCCTCGTACTCATGTTAAGATTTCGAAGGAATTTCTACCCAGAAACGAGGCTAGTTGAGCCAATTTATATGCACATAAAAGAATTTTTAATCGGCAGCCATTTATGAAAAGGGTGTATTGACGACGGATAAAAAGATTTCTTTAGACGCTCAGTTTTAGAAGGAATGTCGTAACATTGAAAATATTATACCATACAACTGAGCTGCGTGTTTCAGGATATTTTCCCGTGCACCTACTAAATGTGATTCGGTAAAAAATTAAAAAAAGTTATCAACAAGTAATAATTGTTCAAAAATACGCATCAAACTTGTGAACTTTTCATTTTTTTAAAAACTGTATTGAGCCACCTTAATTGAGGTACGAACCGCAGTGTTTAGCTAAGTTTTTCAATTAAGCAAGGGGCCGAAGGGGGGCCTGTTAGAAAATTATGATTTGTCCGGGGCGTTTATTGGATGATTTACGTTCCCTCCCTTTTATGCAGAATGCGCAGAGAATGGTTGGGACCGCGCAGAAGAAAATGACACTACTAAAAACATCGAACCACCAGAAAATGATGGGGAGAGTGCTGACGAAAGAGATACAGATCCCAGGATTGCTATTACGACTAACTCAGTTTGGCCGCCACTCAAGGACAGCCTGCTGGTGAACGTTGCGACATTCCCGCTTGCTGTCCTGATCGCGGGTTTTACTGCATTGCTTCTATACCTGGATTTCGAGGCGACTGACAAATGTTTGTCGTTGATGCAATACCATGGTACCATCCCTCCTGAAGTCCACAGGTAAACGAGTTTTTGTTATATTACATTAGACCGATTTAGAAAACACGATGGGACCTGAAAGACGCACCTTCGAAACGAAGAGGTTCTTAATGCAAAAAAGTTTGAACGATTTGTGGTCCCAAGGGTGTCCTCGACAACGTTAATTGTCATTCTGAATACAATGTTAAAACTAAGTTTTTCACGTCATTGAACTTAATAAATAACTTATTGACTGAGCTTGTTCGATTCGGACAAATTGATCTCGTTCCAAACATACAAAAAAAGAGCTCGATTAAATATCCTACAGTCCGGACCTCTCGTCCAGTCAATATCGCGTATTTATCGTCAATGAATTTGTGTAAAGCACCCCAAACAACTTCCAAAGATACACGTGCAAATGATGGAAATTTTCATCCATATCGAACCAAAAATTAATCGATTTGTCCTTGGTCTATTGCTCTTAGCCTCACAAACTCTCGTATTTATACGTTGGATACTTTTTGAGTTTGTGAAACACAAACAAACACAAACACAAGCACAAACACAAACAAATCCAGGAGAAAACATATACACCCTCCTTGCAGAATTAATTATAGTGGTGTCGACTTTTCTTCAGCCCGCGACCATCATCGCCATCATCCCGTTTGTCCCCCTCAAGGGGGGCGGGTCGTCTCGACACGTTACTCCACTCTACCGTTGACTTTGTCCAAATCCACCACTCTCCCATCATCCCGAACACAATCCATCCATAGTTTTCTTGGTCGACACCTACTTCTTGTTCCTGGTTCCTTACGCTCCATTGCCCATCTAACTAGCTCTTTCACTTCCATTCTCTTCACTTGTCCGTACCATCTCAGTCTACTTTCTCGAATCTTCTCTCTCATATCTGTCACCTTCAATTCATGTATTATGTCTACGTTTCTCATTCTTTCTCGTCTTGTTACACCTCCAATTGTTCGACCCAGAAATAACTGATAGAATATAAACTTATAAAAGATTGAATGATACATTTCTGATAAAGGCGTTGTCTTCATTTGTATTTAGGTGGGAACTCCTTGGCGAAACAATTCAAGCGATGTTTGTCAATCTCTGGTTTGTGATAACGATGATGTTATTACTTGGAAAATCGCTAATGAAAGAACTTATGTACAAACTTATCTGCGTCGGCCTTGTAGTTGCTTTAATACAGATAGTTGTCAAAGCTTATCTGATTGTGTTTAATGTTTATAACACATCGTGCAACGAGGTATGTATTTGTGTATTGTAAATTAAATTACTTTTTTACAATAACAATATGCAAATTAGGTAAATGCATGAATTAAGCATGCGTGATAGGCATTGGTGCCAAAAAATGAAAGTTTCAGCAGCTATTTAAAGGACTTAAAATTGAGCACATTTTCTGATATTTGGACCAAAAATAAAACACATAACAGATTTCTCGTTTTAACCTTTTAAATTTCGCGCGCAAGCTATTTTTAATGCTGCTAAAAAAGACAACACCACCCCCTCCCCCTACCCAAACAATCAGATTCTATATTTATCAAACATTTCATGACATGAACGGATTTGTGAAATTGAGAGCCGTTTCAAAATTGTCTACTTTTTTCTGACAATAAAGTCTGTTAGCTCAGTGGGTTTGAGCGCTGCCCCGCAATAATACAGCTTTCAGCAAAATGGTATATCTGCTTGGTCTGGTCAGTTGCTTGGTTGTTCTCCCCTGCCATAATACAACTTGGTTTACCGCGATATTTATTTATTTATTTATTTAACTTCGCCATTGTCATGCATTCATGGCAGGGTCACCACAACAGTATGGTACCAATTACTGTGGGCCCTTTAATTTTAAATAGATAATAAAACACAAATAAAACACAACGAAAACTTCGATTTACCTGTTCAAAGTCATCACACGAATTGAAACTTGAAGCCAAGCAAACAAATTCCTCGAAGTTTTCGTTGTATTGTATTTCACAAACATACTTAATTTAATAGCTGCTTGCAAATTTTATAAAACATATAACAATTCATAGAATATAAAATAGCTATTGAAACATAATAAACAAGGCTAGGAAGACCTGACAACTTCGAGAAATAGATCAAAACAGTAAAGAACCTGGACGTGCACAAATTGACACGAATCTATCCAAATTTAGACAGAACATAAAATTAAGACTTACAATCTTCCTCATCATGTTTATATTTCAATAACTATGAGATACTAATAGCAGCGAGAGAGTGGAGCAGCAAGACTACGAGCAGTGTTAACTTTAAGCAAATAGACTTCCATGTCCGAGGATTTTGAGGTTGATGTGGTAAAGTGAGAGACTGAATAATTAAATAATAATTTAATTACCAATTACCCTTACAAGGTGTTCCTCTTGGGTTTTTGCTGCAGCAGTTACCTCGTTGGAAAAGCCATGAACGATGAGAGCAGTACCAAGAAGCTTAAATGGAAGGCTGCTGTAGGGATTGGGACTCAGTTTCTCCTGATGTTTGCCATTGCATTATGCCATCGATTTTGGGTGATACCGTTATTCAATGGAGAAAAGAACCTGACAGCAAAAGCTCTGATAGCATTAACCCCGCCCATACTTGCTTTCGTCGCAACCTCCATCAGCCAATACCTCGTGCTGACTTGTTCGACCACATGGCTCGTTGACCGAAATCGAATGTACGTGCTTGTTTACTTCAACCAGTTACTACCCCTCGCTCTGTTCCGTGTTATGCAGGCCGACTTCGACAACTGGGGATTGTTTGTGGGGCTGTCATGCATTTACAGCATCACAAACTTCTTCTCTGAAGTAACACGTGAACATCGGAAAACGTACTGGAGAGCAAAACTGGGCAATGAACGGTCACTTTTGTTTGACAAGCCTGAGAGTGAGATACTGCAGGTCAATTTGCAGATACAGCATTTTCCCTACCATTACGCCATGATCATCCTCAGTCAAATCTACATCACTCTGTACCGATATAGCACGTTTGATGTCCCCCTTCCAGAAGAAATGCATCGAATGCTTGGTCGCATTGCAGTTGGCTTAGTGATCGAGCTGTTCTTAAACATCCCCTCAGTTTTGCTGCAAATTCGTTTCTGTGACAGTAAAATGAGGGAGGTTTTGTTCAAATGTTTCTTTCACCATGTGATAGCCCATGGAGTTGTCGTCGTTATCACAATATGTTATTTCTCACAAGTCCTTTTCAGCGTACTGCAAGTGCCAATAGATGGCGCCTTGGCCGGGTATCGTGTCAGAAATTGCTCATTGCCTTTTACATACGAATAAACATGACATTATACATATTCATGAAATAAGAAATATTATTTGTATATATTTTTAATTTACGTTTCTGTATGATTGTATAGTTTGTATATTAACAAGTATACGATATATATGCCTGATATACAATCGACTTGCATTGCGCAAGCCAGAATAATCAATGAATACTTATAATTGTAAAGTATACATAATTTTTTACGCAATCAATGCTCGTATTGTAAACAACTTTTAACAGCACTGATTGTATTTCCGAATTCAACTTTTATTACAATATAATCAAAACAGTTTAACTTTCTTAGTTTCTTGTAACCAACAGACTATGGAGTTGATATTTATCATACTGTACTTTTAGTTCTGTATATATTGATCTAACCATTAAAATATTGTATAATGGAACTCATCATAATATATCGCCTGAGTCATATAGTTTGGAAAGTGGTTATATTCCTTCTATTTTAATTAACCCCCTCCTCCATTTAACCAATGCCCCCCTTTTTCAAAACGTCCCAACCTCCCTTTTTTCGACATCTGTTTCAAAGAGTGAAATTTGACAGATTAGCACTTGCAAATGGCATGGAATGATTAAGTTTACTGTAGGTACTGAAATTCAACATACACTGTATATGGCTACTACCTTTCCGAGGAAGGGCCTTCGCTCGAAACGTCGAATTTCTCCTTGTATTTTTAGGTAGTTGCATCCCTACCAACGAAAGCTTAAAATTCAGTATCCATTTTCAGCACTTTAAAAAAACATCTTGTTCAGCAATCTCCATTACAGTTGTTTCTCTAACCTCCCCCCCCCCCCTACCCCCACAAAACAAAGTTTTTCTCATCTCACCCCACAACATTTTCCATTCCCCCTTTTTGAAGTGGTTTATGTTCTACCTTAAAGAAGGGGGAGGTTCAAACTATGTAAGTTAACGGTTCAATGCAAAAGATGGTGCATAAGGATGCATATTAATGACGTTCCTTGTGGTGTGCGACCACGTCCATGAGAAGGCTTAGCGAGCATTTGCTGTCTTTTTCTGTTAAGATTCTCGTGAAGCGTTCTGTGTGTGATCCAGAAATTGCGTGTGCAGAGCATGCGGTGATTGCGCAACATGTGATGATTAGCTGTTTGACGCGCAAAGTGTAACGATATAGTGAGGCATGTTTAAACTCTCCCCGTACGAAAATAGGTAATACTACTGTATGCAGACTATTTTTGACCACGATTTGCAATGGTGTGATGGGTGTAAGCTGCCAGAGTGAGGTTGGCAGTTCAAGACACGATTTGCATGGATCTTTCCTCAATCCAAGTACGATCGATAGTTCCCAGACCGCCTCGGTCACCGGCTTGCATCTAACCTTCCGAATTGGTAAGTATGGTATTTGAATATATCGTGGCTGTATCTATGGTGAATGCAGATATTACACGGCTAAAAACGATCAGGTTGTTGCAATAGTTGATGAAAATAGGATTGAACAATGTTTTGCTGCCCACATTGTTCACAGTTGTCAACAATATTGAACAATATCGTTACACCCGATTCAGGCTCAACAATATTGTTCAATATTGTTGACAAGTGTGAACAACGTAGGCAGCAAAACATTGTTCAATTCTGTTAAACAGCAGGTTCATAACTTTTATGCGTGTAATTGTAAATGATAATGGTCATCTCCTGAATACTTGGTGTAACTGGCTTTCAAACACCTTAGTAAGGATCGCAGCTGGAAATAGTATGAGAATAATGTGGATGTACTGTGGATTCAGTAATGCAAACATGATTTTCATAGTATGGTCAGATTTTACTATGTTTTTCCAGATATGAATAACCATTTTCGTGATCAGCTCATTTCTATTAATAAAGTTAGTTACATCCCAAACTACAAAATGCCACATGTATATGGCAAATAATAAAAAGTAAAACGATCTGACTCACGATGCAATAATACTGTAGAATTCAAAACAATTAAAATACCTGATCTTCAATGATGTCTTGCAATTGTTGATGGTAATTCATTAGTCTTTTTTCGTCATTAAACTACAATGGAAATTATGACTTGAATTGCCGATTGTTGACTTGGGGTTCGCTTTATATTGTATATTCCTACATATAGTAAACAGAAACCAACCTTGTGTGAGAGGTGAAACAAAAGTCGATTCTGACCACGAGTACCAGGTCCTGAAAAGAGATTGGTGACACGTACAGTTATTTATTGTAATAGATTCAGCTAGATGACGGTACAGAATTATTTGAATGAAATTAATTTATTCTATTTCAAAATTTTATCAAAGACATTGGTACTGACTGTATACATTTGTACAGTATACTGCCATCACCAAACTAAGTAACAAATGAAATACATTAATTTAATTTATCGTACGATCATCCAGATTAAATTTTTTTAATTGCATGTTTCTAACGTTTCGGCTACCTATACGGCAGCCATGACGTGCGACGCCATTTTGACGCAAGATAAAATTATTATAACTGTAAATTTTTTGTAACTGTAATACGTCTTTGATAATGGCTGCCGTATAGGTAGCCGAAACGTCAGAAACAATTAAAATTTTTTAATCTGGATGATCGTACAATAAATTAAATTAATGGAAGAACCCGGATTCAAGCCCTTCAGTAAATGAAATACAGTAAATTTACACTTAAATTTTCAGAATATCTAGAGAATTTACAATCATTAAGTTTATTTTAAAGGGAGTGCAAAGACAAACGCCTGTATTCTAAAAGCTCACTCAAACTCAAATAGTGGAGGTTCAATCTGAGCTCCCCTTGAGTGCAGTTTTTTGAATAGCTTGAGCGTGTTAGTGTCGTACCTTACTGTGTGACTGAGTAACCCTCCAGCTACTGTATTCAAAAACAGCACTGACACTTAAGAGAAGCTCAGATTGAACCTCCACTCTTTGAGTGTCAGTGTGAGTGAGCTTTCAGAGTACACGAGAAGCTCCGATTGAACCTCCACTCTCCGAGTGTCAGTGTGATCTTTCAGTATACAGACAGGTGAAGCTGAGTCTCTACCTTTTAAAGCAGCTTCATCAGCTTCTTTGTACATTCCCAAGAAGAAATAACAACATGCAAGGTTGATCCAGAGTTCTGGTGTGACAACACTGCCCTTTGCAAGCTCCTGGTACTCCTATACAATCAAATAAGATCAATGGAATATTATGGAATAAGACCAGTCTTCTTCAAAATATTGATATATGCACGAGTGTGTAGTCACTCTGCCTTCTAAGAACAAGACAGATGATCAAGTTCTTTAAAACTAAAAGGGTATAGTAGGCAAACATTATTTATGAAAACACTATATTAGTATATTAATTAGTTTCCCTGATAATTCAGGAAAATGCACTTGCAGGCACTGCATGTCATATAATCTCATATTTTTCTTCTTTCTATTAATTTTACTTATCTTTAATAATTTTTCTTGTCCATACCGTTTCACGCCAGATGATTTTACTCAACAAGAGGAGCTAGAGCCCTGGCAGTCAATGGGTTGAGTTATAGATTGCACCCTAACGCGCTATACTTTATTATTTTACTCCGTCTAATGCCAGACCACTTTACTCACCAAAAGGCAAGCCCTGGCGCTCAACGGTCACTCTGTCTAACGCCAGAAGTCAAATAATGTGCCTGCAGACATTTTCCCTTTTTGAACCTGAAACTGGTCCCCAATCCCTGACACAATGATTTAAACAATATTCCTCATCGACTGACGGTGTCCGATAGTGTTTCGCTCGATCATTTAGAATATTTTAACATATTTTTAAAAAGGCCTCGGAAAACGCAAAAGTTTGAGTTCCAAAATAATGATGGACTGGTCACAGAAGTACGATCATACTTGCTCATATAAAAATTACGTTAATATTTTTTTATATTCTACCAGGTGCAAGTTCTTCGACCAGTGATGCTGCGGCTTTAGATTTGTCAAATCGAGTGATGAAGTAATTGGCAAATATAGTTACTTATTAATAACCCTGACGTACCTGTAAAGCAGCTTTATAATCGCCCAAATGGAAAGCACAATATGCGCTCCATAACCCATTCTTCTCATCACCTTTGGCAGAATTTTTATTGAACTGCAATAAAAAATGTGTTGTTTTGTTTTGCCAAATTTAAAGGTATACAATAGTAGTTTATAGTACTGAGTATATAAACCGAGTACTTATACATTTAGTACTTGTAATTACAGGTAAGTGTGTTTACTTGCAGATCAGACGGGCAAGTATTGAGTAGCAAGTACATGTATTTACAAATAA